CCACCCTATTTCCTTTTCACGCTTGAGATGTGGTCTGGTGGGATATCGGGTACCCGTCCGAAGGTCGTTTAAATATTAGTTATATATCATGTGTACATATATAGTCATAAAGGTCCTTCCAGTTCATCCAATGCCCTTAGGTATCAAGGGTATACATCCATGTTCATACATACCAGTTACATTATTAGCAAGCTACCATATGGGTAGTTTAGGAAGATACTAGAACTATTACTAGAACGCGATATCATACAATGAGTCAGTTCATTCATGAGTCAAGACTTGCTAGATAGAGATAACACACATTACAGCTAGTACACACAGTACATTACTATACATGCTAGATAGAGAGAGAACACACGTTACAGCTAGTACACGCAGCACATTACAGTACATTTACATAGATACTTCTACATGAGTACATTTACATGTATACGTTTACATACATACACTTACATGACTACATTTACATAGATACATTTACATGAGTACACTTACACGAATTACTAGTACATTTTATATGTATAGATTCTTTTATATAATCCTCATTCTTATCTTTACCTTGTTATTCAATCACATAATCGACGAGATATATTGGATTTAATATCCTAGTACCAAAGGATACGTTGCGGGATTAACCATTCCTAGAATCTCTGTTAGCTACAGAGGTAAAAGCACATCCACAGATGTCAATGGTTGATACCATTACAGGTATACTTTAAGGGATTAACTATTCCTATACCCAACTGTTAGCAACAGAGGTAAATGTACATCTTCGGATATCTTCAGTTAACATTGTTAGTTACCCTAGTACCAAAGGGTAATACTAAGGATACATTCAGAACAGTCGAGTCTTGGTAGAAGGCTACATTCAGAACAGTCGGGTCTTGGTAGAAGGCTACATTCAAAACAATCGGGTCTTGGTAGAAGGCTACATTCAGAACAGTCGGGTCTTGGTAGAAGGCTACATTCAGAGCAGTTAGGTCTTGGTAGAAGGCTACGTTCAGAACAATTAGGTCTTGGTAGAAGGCTACATTCAGAACCATTAGGTCTTGGTAGAAGACTCTCTTTTATAGTAGTAGAAATCATAGGGATTTCTAGGGTTTTTCAAATGTTTACATTTGTTCTACAAAACATTTTCATACTTACAGTTCATATACATTTTTAATACTTACAATTCATATACATACAAATTCTTACATACAAATTAAGACACTAAAATACTTATGATCTCACCAACTTCAAAGCTGATACTCACTTTCAAAATTACTTGTATCCTCAGGTCATCAATTGATAGGTACTGATGCAAGGTTTAGAGAAGATGGAGCTTGTTCAAGACTCATCTTTCATTTTGATTTATGCTTTAGTGTCTATTATAATTTTTTAGAACATACTTGTATAATAATTATATTATTAATGCAATGGATGATGTTGTTGCTTGTTTACTACTTTTCATTGTTGTGATACTGTACATTACGTCCTCCGCCCCAGAACGTTTCCGCCGTTGTTGGTTTTGGGGTGTGACACAATCGCAGGTGATAAATAAGCAGTTTGGTAGTATACTATTGGAAGATTTAGAATAGTTTGTAATAGTACTTTTGTACTTTACTTTATGTTTGTATAAATTACAATATCCTGAGTAGTTATGTAAAATATTAAATCTTAGTCGGTTTGTATCCAGTCTTTGTAATCAAACTATCAATGTATAATATAATATGTTTTATGAATATGCATGTAGCATGTTTTGGAGTAACAACTGTTGTTAAATTCTAAAAGCATGAGGGGTCTTTCAATCATGGTATCAGACCAGTAGTTTTAGCGAACTAAATGTCCCAGATTGGTATTTAGACTTAAACTATTGGAAGTTCAATATATGAATTGAATCATTGTAAGTATATGGATACAAACCATAGGAAATATTTAGTAAAAGTATTAGGTAATAATAAATCCCAATATTCTAAAATACTATGTTACTCATATATTTCAGAAGAATGGCTGAACATGAAGGTAGCCATATACCAGAAGTGGATGGAGGTCCTCACCCTGATGAAGTGAACACTCCAGTATCTCGTCGTGTGGTGCGATTTATGGATAAACTCACTGGTGTTATTCGAGAATCTCGAAGAACATAAAAAGAATAATGATAAAACGCAAAGAGAAAGCCACCAGAGAATCTTCGGGAGAGAAGACGAGACATCCCTCATTCAAGACTTTCAAGAGTAGCGGTGCTACATAGTTTTCTGGTGTCCTTAATCCTATAGTTGTTCTAACTTGAATTCAGAACACAGAGTAGATGTTTCGTATCTCTCATGTGGATAATGAAGACAAAGCTAACTATGCTTCTCCAAACTATTATGTTACATAAGGAATTGATAATTTATTTTATTTACTTCTTTTTATTTTATTTACTTCTTTTTATAGTTTATTTTATTTACTTCCTTTTTGTTATTTTATGACCATTTCGGGTACTTTCTAGTTTCATGAGTATAACTGCAAATTTTAAGGATACTAGTAGAGCGGGATCTTTGGGAAGCACTTGGACTTGGAGGACGACGAGGATTTTGGACTTGCTGGCTATAGAAGTGATGCGTGGAGTGAGCTTGTCAATTACTTAAAGGCTTGGAAGAAATGAACTTTAAATTTGCAAGATGTGGGAGAATTTTCGAGTGTGCGTAGATAGATGATAGGGAGATTGGGGAAGCTATTGATCATTTACAAAAGGCTAATTGGGCTCAAATTGAAAAAATCTTGAATAAAAATGAGCTAGAAATGGATTGGGCTGAAACTGGGCCAATGGTTAAGCTGTGGAGGCCCAACACTTGAAGAAGGGCAAAAACTCTGTCACTGTTACGCGGCCCATGTAAGCTACCCATGCGGCCTGCATGGGTTTTTAATGGGGCATTTTAGGAATTTTACTTAAAGGTCTATATTGGGAAGGTTGGTGTGCCACTTTAGCGTTCTCTTGAAGATCCAAAATTTGAACAATCCTCTAGAGATTTTGGAGCTTTTGGAATGCCAAGAACCCTCAAGAACTTCATCATTTTTTCTCTTAATCTAGTTGAATGTTTGGTACAGTCTCTTCTAACTTTGTTTCATGTGTTTAGCCATGTTAGGCTAAACCAAAAATTGGTTGACTTTGGTGAAATCTTTTGTCTAGTTATTGAATGTTGGAGATTTCATAAAAACATTTCCTCAAACATGGTTGTGAAAGCATTTGACTCCTCGTGGATCTGGTGACATTTTAATTCTAACTGCTAGTTCATTTTCACTAATTACATTCTTAATGGAAATTGTGACTTTGACTAAGGAAATTGTTAAAAGTTTCTCTAACTATTTTAATAACTAAGAAAAGTCTAATTAATCTCAAGGTATTTGGATTAATATAGCCAAACTAAGTATTTAAAACAAGTATTGCATCATTAGATTCTAATGATATATTAATTAACGTCAAAGTAAGGAAACATTTTGTCAACCATCTTTCCCTTATTGATTTTACATCAAACTCTTGTTTTTGTTGAAATTGTCTATTTAAATCTTAGATTAATCCTATTTTATTTCAAGCATTTCAAAAGACCACCCCTGTTTTTAATTTATTGTTATTTTACAAGTATTTTTATAAATAGGTTTTCATAGAGTTATAAAATTGAACCAATATCTGAGGATACGATCCTTTTACCACTATACACTAATCTAGTGTACAAGATTTAGGGTTATTAAATTTTGTTGGCCTCGTCAACTACCGGTAATTCCATGCTTAAAATAGTTTTGACATCCCCCCTTACAACGCTCCATTGGATGTTGTAGTAACAATCGTAGACACTTATCACTCGCTTCGATTGATTGGTCGAGGTTGTAGTTAGAAATTGCAGGTGGCGATGTCAACCCCGTGTATATATATATATATATATATATATATATATATATATATATATATATGCTTAGTGACTTATACATATACACTTATCACTCTGCTAATGAATGACGCTTCACTAAAAAGTCCTTAACTAAAAAGTTTGTGAATAGCTTTCAACCCTAACTTAATTGTGATTAAGTCACTAAGCATAATGAATATCAATTTTATTATGTTTATAAAAGTCGAGTATGCTTGGTATGTAGGTAAAGGTGTAATGTACTCGCTTTTATAAAGATGTATGTTTCAAAGTGATGAACAAATGTATATGTATAAAATTTATATATTTAAACATTTGAATATATATACGAATAGTAATAGCTTGAATCTTTGAAATACTACAAAGTTTTATAATGTGCTTGCTATAATACACAATGTCATATAAAAATAATATATTTATGTATCATGTAGCAATTGTATTGTGGACTAGTTATTTTACGATAAAATAACCATAATATGTATACAAAAAATTTATACTAGTTTATTTGTAACAATATAGTAAATTGTGAAATAGTAATATTTTTATAAACTAAGATTATTATATTTTTGCATAAAAAGGTAATTGGTTTGTATAAGCAAAATATATAGGCACATGTATTCCAGGCCCCCTCCCCCTCCGAAATAATTGAAATATTAAAATCGGACCATAAGCATTCACCATTGAATCATGAGTTCAAGTTGTTCGAATTCGGATTCTTTTGAGAAACGTTTCGTGTGAAACCGCAAATCCATAATTCTTGAACTTTAAAATACTCCCAGGACCGTTTTGTAACGAATTCAAACTATTGGCGGCTGTTAGGTAATTTAATTAACCGAAATAGGACTGATTCGGTTAGAATAAATCAAGAGAGCGACTGATTTTGTAACTTGAACAAACTATAAGGGTTGGTATGTAACTTCTTGAATAGAGGGGACTGTTTTGGTTAGTAATTACCATAGAATGGAATGTTTTTTAATAGATGGAATCAATATTTGGGGACTGGGATAGATTTGGAAATAATGTTTTAATAATCGGGGTAGTTTGGTCCTTTCACAAGCTAAAATGAAATTAGGGCTTTTAAGCCCCTGTTATTTGTTTAATCGGGCAAAGGAAATGGAAAGCTACGAAAGCAGAGGATTGGCGATTCAAAGCTTCACGAGGCTTGCAGGCGACATTCGCCGATCGAATGGCGAAGGGAGGTCGTCGACACTGGGGCCGGAGAGGCTGAAGAAACGAAGCTTCAATCTCCTTGTCCGGCTGCGAGGTGAGAAGTCCGGGCGTTGAAAGAAGAAGTAGCACCGGAGCAGGCGTGGTTTCAGTGATTGATCGCGAGAAGGATTGATGTCTCCGGGGTTCCACGGACCGAAGGGGAGAAGTAGCGAAGCTAATTCGGTCTCTGTGGGTTCAGTGCAGACGAGACCTTCGGTGGTGAGTGGGGTTTTTTTCGACCGGAGGAGGTGTGGGGTGCGATGGGGAAAATGATTCAGCAATAGTACCGCCGATGGTAAGGCTTGGCAATGAAGGTCGACGGTAAAGGAGGGATGGACTTCGGTGCCTCGCTTCCATTGTTTGCTTGATAATAGCAAGTTTGTTTCTCCTTTTTTTTTGGACTGTTTGACAGTAGCGGATTGAACCTAAGTGGGTGTGTGGGTTTAATTTTTGACTAAAATTGATGGGTTTAATCAATAGATTTAGGTGGGTGTTTTGTTGGTTGGTATTGGCAGCAAGAAGATGAAGAAAGGTGGTGTTTGGTTTGCTTATTCGACAAAAGAATGGAGAAGGACGATGGAGGCTTGAAGTCCATTTCTTTTGACCGATTTCACATGGACAACACCTCCAGTGGAGTTGTTCTTGACTGGAACGAAGGAGAAGGAGAAAGAAAACCGGATGTTGTTATTTGGTGATTCATTAACAGTTTTAGTGTTTTACAAGGAAACCTTTCCTTTATGTGTGATTTAGTGTTTCTTTTGTGTATAAACTTAGATAAATTGAAATGTGGAAATAACTTCAAAATTAATTTGACTTGTAATTTAATTATTGTATTGATTTAACTTGAATATATATTTGGTATTTTGCATTTGATTTGGTATTGGAGTGTGTATTGGTATAATTTCTAATAGATTTACTGTAGGCTTTTATGTTTAATAATAATGATGCAATAGGTATGCATTTGGTTGGATATATATATATATATATATATATATATATATATATATATATATATATATATATATATATATATATATATATATATATATATACTTCCACGTTTAATAAAATTGTGTGTGTGATATAATACACCAGAATGAGAAAGGAGAAATAAGAACTTGATCATTTAGCAAGTTATAGTATTTTTGTTTAAAAATTTCATAAGATTTAAATATAAAAATATATATGATGCATAATTATATAATTAAACCTACGAACCATCAAAATGGTACAATACATATGTATATTTGTTAAAGACTTTTGAAAACAATATATATATATATATATATATATATATATATATATATATATATATATATATATATATATATATATATATATATATATATCGGTTATGAGTTTCATGTATAAATATATATACAAAACATATTTATATTAGTGCTGTGGAGGTAGAGTAATTTTCCTAGATACGTACAATATGACTAAAATTTGAGAAATTAAATTAACTCCTACTATTTCTTCCCACTAATATGCCTACCCACTAGAAACATGACACATGTCATCCTTCTTCAATTCCATTTAATTTTAGTTGATATCCGTATAATACCCTTAATGAGGTAATTGAAAATTAAAAAAAAAAAAAAAAGATTACGTAAGATTAGACGTCCTCTTATTTTTTTCATCGTCATCTTCCATTATTTTCTACATTCTATTGATCTTCAATCGACACCACCTCTCGCCTCTACTCATCTTCAATCGTTACTGATATTCAATCGACACCCCCACTCGCTTCTGCTGATCTTCAATCGACACCCCTAATTATTGCCTCCTAATCTTTAATTGATATCACCATTCACCGCAGATTTATCATCAGCACAAGGGGCTCGATTCATACTCCGAATCTGTTGTTGTTGACAGGTTGAATTCTGATTGGAATGCATCGAACCTTGTTGTATTGATCTACTTGAGGTTTCTATGGAATTCCATTGTGTATTTTGGTAGAACTGTTACCTGTATAATTTGAAGAACACAGTAAAACCCATAAACGAAAATCAAATAAAAGATTTTTTTGAAGACCGAGAAGGAGTAAATTAATTTGTTGATTTTTAGCCATAGGTTTATCAAAATTTAAATGTTATTATCCATAAACAGAACTCGAAGGAGATACTATATGAAATTTTTTTTACCAATTGAATGAGTTTGTTGGAGCCAATATTTTTTTGTTGATATAATCTGAAAACTAATTTGCAAATTAATCTTCAATAGTTCATTATCTCATGGAATGTGTATATCACATAAATTTTGGTCTCACTTTATCAAGCTTAAATGTTTGGAGGAACTTGTGCAGATGGCTACAAAACCACTTATAACCGTCGCACTAGCATTGACAGAGATGAAAATGGACATGTCATTAGGAAGAAATAGCACACCATTTTGGTTCAATATCAATTATTGTATTAAACTAAGCTCATGTATCTATTCTTTGTTATAGATAGCATTGGTTTTGTTACTTTTCCTTTTAAGTATCAATGTGTTGTGTTTTGACCTTTCAAAGAGGATATCTTGGAAGTTGTTGTCGCCATGGTTAACAAGGTCATATACTTGATCTAGAAAGTGTTTTTGTGTCAAACGAAGTTCAATGTATGTATTCTTTCTTTTAGATGATATTATTAAAATGTCCATTAGTTTCATTTCTCATTTGGACACAAATGCCCCTATATTGTATTTTGTAAACTGGGACAAAAATGGCCAAATGTCCCGTTTTGTTAAATATTTGGACATAATTGCCCCTCTATTTGTATCTTTTTTTTGTAATTTTTCCCACTTTTTTTTGAAAGTGCATTGCTATTTTTGGTTCCATTTGTATGTATCATGTAAAACTCTATTGGTATACATCATAGGAAACTTAAGAAAAGTACACATTACAACATCTTTTGAACCTTAAAGAAATAAAATCATAATTATTCCTAAAATGATCAATGTGCCCATTATTTTGAAACCAAGAAATCCAATTCTTAATACTTTAACAATGCCAATCGGTTCTTTCAAAACAACTAATCTAAAAATAACTAAAACCGAAAATCAATCTTTTCCACATATTCATGGTCTTTTTTGTTCAAACCGGTACATTAAGATCAAATTGGTAGTTCGGCTCATCATTATAGGAAATTTCTTCATGCTCACAACTCGGACCCGTTGGATCTTGTTGTATGTTATCCGTTTATTTAAGTACCTAAAAAAACACAGTTATTAAAAACTATATTAAACAAAAAAAATGTAAATAGATAAAATATTACATTTTTCTTTCTATTCTTCTTCATAACCCGTTCTACTCTACATTCTTTTCTGTTGGATGGTGGACGACCTTTACTACGTACTTGCAAGGGTGGTAACAATTTTTTAGTCGAGTCTGGAACATGAACATCTTCAACTATCAAATTTACGATACTACTACAACCCCAAAATGAATCATCATTTAACTTTTCTTTAGCCATATTTATACAACTTAGCAAGTATTCATACTTTTTATGAGAATCAACAATATGCGCAACCTCATAATAATTGGAACACAAGTGTTCAAACTGTTTAGCATTTTCACCACTCATCAAATCTTCATAACAATTTATCACCGAGTAGTGTCCATGCTTCAAATCCACCTCAACTGAGACAAAATATATCGTGGATGAATTTATTTAACATCCTTCTCAATCAATATCTTCACATATGCCTACAAATAATTCCGCGGAACTCAAACAAATGACAAGAACATTGTATATCAAATGCAACTGCATCATACCTAATGGTATAAACAACTCTTTTTTTAAATCTCCATGTTTCCCTTCAATAATATATGTGACATGAAATACATATTGTGAACCCTCCACTTTGACCAATAAAGAATTGCAAAACAACATACCGCGTAACTCATCTTGAAAAAATATAAAAATTACATTTGTGTACGCCTCCTGAAACTGTCTCTCAAAATAAAACCCAGTTACTAACTTATATGAAGAATTAAGAGACTCAAAATCAGCCTTATTTTCTTTCTCAATCTTGCTTTTTAGCGCATTGTCATATTGCTCAACAAATTGTTGTAATGATGTTTTATAATTAACATATGCATAAAAAAAAAAGCATTCATGCTTTCACTTCGTTGTGTAGTAGACATCCCTGCCCAAAAGTTTACTTTTACATATATCAGCACCCAACGACTTCGATCGTTGAATAAAGAACATAACCACTCATTTTTTTCAAGTCCATATTTTTCAACCAGCTTGCACCACCCATCTTAAAACTATTGAGTGTCCGTAGACTCATACACAAGGGTTTTTAGAGTCTTCTTTATTACTTTATATTGATCCAACCTGCTTAATTTTTTATGTATCTTTTTCATAATATGCCAAAGACAAAGACGATGATGAGATTCGGGAAATACATGTGCCACAGCTCCTTGCATTGATCGACATTGATATGTTATTATTGCTTTTGGTGCCCTTCCATTCATGCATTCTAACCATGACTTGAATAACCATACATATGTTTCTGTATCCTCTCGAGAAAGCAAACCACATCCAAATACGATAGATTGTCCATGGTGATTTACTCCAACAAAAGGTGCAAAAGGCATATTATATTTGTTCATCAAATATGTGCTGTCAAATGAAATAACATCTCAGAGTGACTCGTAAGCTGCCCTAGACCTTGCATCTGCCCAAAATACATTTTGCATACGACCTTCATCATCGATGTCAATCACGTAGAAAAAAATTTGAACTTCTTTTTTGCATACGGACAAAATAATTACCAAGTGCCTCAGCATCCCCTTGCCCAAGTCTTAGTTGTCTTACTTTTACAATGTAAGATCTACAATCTGTCTCGCCAAATGGCAAGTTGTCATACCCTTGCGCTTCAACAACTAACGAATGAAAACTTTTGATTAATGGAATTCCAGCATAATCACTCAACTCAAGTCTTCTCTTGGCATAAGGTTGGAGCCGTATGGAAGAAAATGGTTACGTGATTTTACTTCGTTTTGTTTACGTGATTTTTTTTCTTTTTTTTTTCTTTTCAATTACCTCATTATGGGTATTATAGGGATATCAACTAATATTAAATGGGATTGGAGAAGGATGACATGCGTCATGTTTCTAGTGGGTAGGCATATTAGTTGGAAGAAATAGTTGGAGGTAATTTATTTTCTCTTGTTGCTTATTAAACACAAAATATAGTATATTTTATGAAAATATATAGCAAATTCTTATAATCTTTCATAATTTATGTTCCTTGAATGAATTTAGAAATATAGGTTATTCCATCGTAAAAATCCACGTCAACTGGATTTGGATATATATATATATATATATATATATATATATATATATATATATATATATATATATATATATATATATATATATATTATTCAGGAATACATTACCAATAATGGAAATTTTGTCGAAATAAATAGTTTAAAGTTTCAGTACTTATAAATCATAAAACGTCTAATTTTCCGATTTTTATAAATATTTTTACAAAAAATATTTCAAACACGAAGTTAAATGTTAGGCTATCACCTCAGTCCAAAAACGTTCTCGAAATTTTCATCTTAGGTGTGCAGTTCTTCAACGGTTAGAAACGTTTTTGACAATTTTTAAGAAAATCAGTATTATTGTAGTTTTGGATTCTTAAAACGGTCGTATCTTCTACATACGAACTTCGTTTTGGACATTATTTA